CGTTGGATCAACGTTTAAAATTGGTTGCGTTAAGGTTGTGACGTTGATCAACCAAAATGCAACGTTGTATCAACGTAAATCTTAAACGTTGAGCCATGGTTGTGATACTGACGTCACAACAACGTTGAATTTAAGACGTACGTACATCATTTCAATTTGACGTACGCCTATTGGAAAATCGACAAATCACCCTACTTTTCCACTCCGTTTCACCTGTTTTAACACTGCGTTGAAACCCAAGCATGATCAGTTAGCCTGCCCATTCAAACAGTTAACAGTATTCCAGTTGTGTCACGGTGTGTTAGTTCAACATGAGAGATAAGCTCAAAGTGATGCAGGTCTTAGACGTTACCGCTTTGGCGAAACCCACGAACACCGTACGGTGCTGACAAAGCCAGAAAGATACTCACGGCGATTCTGAAAATTAAACTTCCGATCGAACATTTCTGGTACTCCCAAGGAACGCAACTCTGCACAGCGAATAGGATCATTCGTCACCACTCGCCCCTTTCCGTAACCTGCAAGAAGAAGAGCTATTCGGCTTGTCCCGGAATAACACGAGTTGGACACGAATGCGAATAGGATGTGTCGATGTGACGTATAATTTAACAATTGTCAAGAATGTGTGAGTTTGGCTTATCGCCGCTTTTAACAGTAATTCTGTTTAAATACATCACAGCATGTCACCTTGATATGGGAGGACAGCGAAGTGATGCAGGTCTTCGACATTTACAACTTTGGTGAAACCCACAAGCATGGGTGTATATGTATAGCAGACAAACTTTGAAACATAATATGGACTAAACTGGGAGTCGAAACCACGGCCCTAGGTTTTTAACACGCCTAACGAATTACGAGGCGACTGGACCACTCGTGCCTCCGAAATTTAGAAGTATGTATATTAGCGTAATGTATATCAGAATGGAGGCCTCTGGCCCATACACGGTACCCGATCATCCAGACCGTCAATCCAGATTATCGGGTTTGTTTACGTTTGAAGCACAGGATGTCGTAGCTGTAAATAAAATAACAAGTTTCACGTTAACCAATGTATCCTTAAGGAGTCGTAGCCATCGGTCTACTAGGACCAAGGAGAAATCCCTATCCTACACATTTAACAAGATCGAAAGTTTGACGTATTGCAGACCTACTTTGTCACATAACGAATCTGAACTAACAGACTAGATTGAATGTTTGAAGCTATCTCTTTGAAAAAGGACATTGCTTGCTGATTGAAGCGCCCGTAATGTATTCATGGGCAATAGGTTCTGAAGTTTCCACAGGTGAGGTGAAATGGGGTTTAACGTCGCGTTCAAGATTATTGCACTTATATAGCGACGTGCATGCACGTGTATGTGTGTGGCTGCTTGTACTAGTCCGGACTGGTGCCGATTTATAGTGCTAGCACACTGAGATGCCATGCCGCAGTTTAACATGAATACCCCACTTAGACACAGTATACTGACTCCGAGCCGACCAGTCCTTGTTTTAGCCCCTTAATGCCGAGCGCCAGACAGGGCAACAACAAGTACCATCTTTTAACGTCTTTTGGTATGACGCGGCCGGGGATCGAACCCCGGACCTTCCTCTCTGCGGGCGGACGCTCTACCATTAGACCACGGAGGCGGTCCACAGACAGAAGAAACGCCATAATCATTAAAATAGTCTCTGATGGTACATATTTAATGAAATATGAATAAATAATTATAATAATTTTTTTCTGACTTTTAAAAGTGGTGTTTTCCCATGTGAAGTTTTGGTGCGGGTGCTGGTACCATTATCAGCCAAGTGTACACATTGAAAGAATATAGAAATTGAACTTCATATCAACTCTCTTCATTGACAAATATGTCGTCATAGACTCCCTTTATCACATACTCAAAGTAACCCGTGAAGATCCGGGGTAGAATAGGTCTTCACCAACCAATGCTTACCGTAGAAGGCGATTATGCTTGTCGTAAGATGCGACTAACGGGATCGGGTGGTCAGGCTCGCTGGTTGATGCATGTCATCGTATCCCAATTGCGTAGATCAATGATCATAATGTCAGTCACTGGATTGTCTGGTCCAGACTCGATTATGTATACAGACCGCCGTATAGATCGAATTGCGTTAAACAGCTTACAAACAAACAAAACATACTCAAAGTCATGTTCTATCAGAAATCATCGCTAAACAGTCCCGTGTTTGTACGCACATTTCGTTTCTATGTCACCCGTGAATTATAGGAAGCTTGCGAAGGCCCGTGCGAAATCAGCATAGAATCGTAGCTATGTAATAGCGACCAGTAGATATCGGATTGTGGTAACGGAGCGGGGCACAGCCACGATTTCGCAGGTAGACAAACATATACACCCATATGCTCCGAGCTCCCGTTATACAGCCACTGTGTTCAATCCAATTGAAGTCATCAAGGGAAACTTACCCGTGAAGATCCGGGTAAGAATAGGTCTTCAGCAACCTATGTTTGCGCTAAAAGGCGACCATGCTTGTCGTAAGAGGCGATTAACGGGATCGGGTGGTCATGCTTGGTTGACTTTGGTTGATGCACGTCATTGTATCCAAATTGCGTGGATCGATGCTCATGATGTCAATCACTGGATTGTCTGGTCCAGACTCTGACGGCGGCATTAAACAACAAACAAACAAACAAACAACATCCAGTGAAACTACATTGGTGAGGTTGTGAAGTGAAATGGGATTTAACCTCGAGTCCAAGATTATTGTGCTTATATACAAACTAGCATGCAAGTGTGTGTGTGTGTATGTGTGTGTGTGTGTGTGTGTGTGTGTGTGTGTGTTTTGTAGGGCTAGCCCACTTAGTTATCATGCCACAGTTTTAACTTGGATACCCTGACACTGTACACTGACTTTGAGCCGACCAGTCCTTGATTTATCCCCTAACCCTCTTGGTGCCACGGGACCATATATAGTCCCTCACTTTTCACACCCACATAGTGCCAAGGGACCATATATTTTCCCGAAAAAATGCCCTTTTTAAACCGTTTTTGAAACAGCGACGTCATCACAGTGCGGCACTGAGCGGTATGCAGGCTGACTGACGTCCAGGGCCGGTATTCATAAAATGAGGGTTAACGCCAAGCGCCAGGCATGGTCACACGTATAATATTTCAGCGTCTTTTGATATGTCGGGGATCGAACCACTGACCTGCGGCTATCCAGGCAGACCAAAGTCAAGTACAAAGGACCAATTGCCTCAACAATACAACATTAAAGTGTCAGATGTCAAGCAGTTGGTCTATACTTCCTTTGTTTGAATGAGTGAGAGAGTGAGTATGGTTTTACGCCGCTTTTAGTAATATTCCAGCAATATCACGGCGGGGGACACAAGAAATGGGCTTAACGCAATGTATCCATGTCGGGAATCGAACCCGGTTCTTCGGCGTGACGAGCGAACTTTTAAACCACTAGGCTACCCGACCGCCCCATTTGTTTGAAGTACCCAAGAAGAATGAATAACGAATCAAGGTGGTGTTCAAGAGTGGACGTACCGCCGACGTGCTGGTGTTAACATCAGTCGCGTTGCATCGTTGCGTCATCCCCACTCGGTGACATCCAGTGATTGTGTGTGGGGGGCACGGGTGGCCCAGTCGTCTGGGTTTAACGCAGCTATTAACAGTATTCCAGTTATATCACGGGGTGTCAGCTTAATGTGGGAGGAAAGCCCGAAATGATGCAGGTCTCAGACGTTTACCACTTCGGTGAAACCCACCAGCACGGGTATAGTGCTGACAAACCTAGAAACATAATCGGAGCGAACCGTGATTCGGACCCACAATCATAGGTTTCTGGCGTGTCCAAGGGACGCAACTCTGCACAGCGAATCGCGGCGCCTTAGACGACCTGGCCAACCTGGCCCCCCGCCTGGCTTGATCTCTTGTGTGTGTATATCTTCACACGGCAGGGCTCGCATGGGAGTAAAAGATCTGATTTAATGAGACTGAATTCTGACATTTCTCATATTTCAAGAATTATATTGGGATATACACAAAAATATATGGGAAATGGCCAATTAAATACAAGAGATAAGGAACACCTATCAATTTTATTCAAGATAAACAGATACAAAGATTAAGCCAATATGTGGAAATATCTATATAATACTGAGTCGTGAATCTTTGATATATTTACAATGTACGGTATACAACATAGATCATAACAGCACAAATGTGACCCCATATTGCTCGTTGCTGGGGCAACTCTTACACTGCCCCGTAAAAATTGTTTTGTAAACCTTTTTGTGCATATTTACTCTCTCCCCAAAATGTCAAAATACCTATAAATATGGATAATGACTAGCCAAACAGCAACTCATCTAATCATATATTTATTTTAACTACAGTAAACTACGGTTATAACGAACTCAAAGGGACCACTAATTTTAGTTCGTGGTAGCCGTGGTTCGTTATATGCATATATACAACATAACTACAGCAAATAGTCGGGACAAAAAAGTCAGTTCGTTATATCCGTCAGTTCGTTATAAGCGTGTTCGTTATAACCGTAGTTAACTGTATTCGACATTATCCATCTATCCTTCGCCTGTTGTTACACAGAAACATGCAGACAATGCGGAATCACACAATCAGGCCTCGCCTGTCTCCACTAGGACCAGAGCCCCACCCTACCCGACGAAAACGAACTCTACCTCACTCCACCTTCCTTATCGACCGCCTCCGTGGTCTAGTGGTAGAGCGTCCGCCCGGAGAGCGGAAGGTCCGGGGTTCGATCCCCGACTGCGTCATACCAAAAGACGTTAAAAGATGGTACTTGTTGTTACCCTGTCTGGCGCTCGGCATTAAGGGGCTAAAACAAGGACTGGTCGGCTCGGAGTCAGTATACTGAGTGGGGTATTCATGTTAAACTGTGGCATGGTATCTCAGTGAGCTAGCACTATAAATCGGGATCAGTCCGGACTAGTACAAGCAGCCACACACACACACGTGCATGCACGTCACTATATAAGTGCAATAATCTTGGACGCGACGTTAAACCCCATTTCACCTCACCTCACCTATCACGCCCCCAATATCCCATCCCACCCTACCGGCCTGAAGGAAAGCTATCCCACCCACACTCCATGTCACGCAACGCAATCAGCAGCTGCACCAGGTTCGAGGTCGTCCACATCTTTGGTCTTTTCTTCCTCGGTTAGTATTGAACATTTTGAGAACGAGTGCAAATCAGACAAAGATTCATAGACGTCATTAGATGACCTTGAACTTGACACATCTAAATCAGACCCACGTGACCAATGACTCAGTGTCTGCAAGGCTGGAATGGCATAAGACTGGATCACCCTCTTCCACAGCAGGTAGGCACCGGCAGATGTTGCTAAAAAAGGAGCAACATTATTTTATTTTGTCATTAAAAATTATTTATCTTTGCTCCGTGTATCTGCCCTTTTAAGTTGGTGTAAACACTAATTCCAAAACATACAATTACGGTAAAGTAAGGGTTAAAATAAAAATTTATGACTGTCAGATTAACATGTCAGGAAAGCCGGAAGTTGTGCAGGTCGTAGACATTATTTCTCAAGTGAGACCCGAACTCGGTGTTAATGAAACGGTGTAAATAAACATTTCAAATGTGGGATTCGAACCCATGGATAATTGGATCCAGGCACCACTAAGGGACGCAACTCTCCAAAAGACAATTATGGTGCCTTAGATCACTGGGCCTCCGGGTGGTTTTAATTTTTTTGAATAGAATAAAACCCGTTGTATTGCATAAACTTAAAGAGAGGATAACCCGGCAAATCAAACACGACCTACCTATTCCTGCAACAAATGAAGCACCGACGAGGAACCTGTTTTCCTGAACAGTGGAGGCCAGGGCTGCAATACAGATATCACACATAACCATCGCCGTGGAGCGACATGCACATCACGACTCTGATCCAGTTATATGGCCTGACTGGCATCTTAATGATGCTTTAATTTTAGATTTTTTTAGAATTTGGTCGTTTCAGATACAACGAAAAAATCATGACCTGAGAGTTTCTAGGGCTTCGGTCCTGCACATGTAGCACATGTGGGGTCTCCTAAAGCAAATGACTTTGGTCGAAATATATTTATGCCTCTCTTCACCCAGCAGTAAATAAATATGTACTCGGTAGGATGAGATTGCAATGTGAGTGTTAATCTTTTAGCGCCTGACAAGGCAGCTTGGATTGTATACTCCACAGGGAGCTGAGAATGAAAATCGTGTGCATACTGATCACTGACATTGGGAATAATGTTAGCGCTCTGAGGATGCACTGAGTGCATGGAGGCTAATGCAATAGGTATAAGTACACACGTTTTTCACAGGTCAACATTATTTTGAAAACAAAACCTTATTTCACACCTGTAACTGCTCTCGGGTGTTACCAAAAAGACCTCGTGTCGCTCACCTTTAAATGATGTCCAGGCTGTCGTTGAGGCTGGTGTGTGGCCAGCTGCTTGGACACTAGAAACAGAAAGGGGCCATATTGGATCCTTCGTTGAGCCTAATCTCGACATTTTTGAGAATGTAAAACTTTATTTACACAACTATACCCGTTTAGTTGAACTACAGTTGATGCGGCAGTAGTCGCTGTTGTTGTCATGAACGACGACATCCTGAACGTTCCTCCACGTTGCGATGTCTTGTTTGGGGTATGACACATGGATGTCCGTGACGTCACGTCACTCGAGAGGCCATTACCGGAAAGTGGTCGAAGCAAAACTTGTCGTAAAGTTTACGACATTCAATTATACATATTGATGACAAGACCACCACGTCATCCTCCTTATTCGCTTCTTAAATCGCATATTCAGAGTAATATCTGATAGTATGTACAGCTAGTATACCAGGACATCCGTGAAACCCATCTGGGAAAGTCTTTTTTCCATTCCTAAATACTTGTGATAGTTGCTTTGTCGAACGGGGAGAAACGAACTACAATTTAAGTGATTGTTAAAAAAGGGATTAAGTGATTTATGTTTTGGGTGGACCAGGCATAAATTACAAACACAGTCTTAGTGATAATCTTCGTCTATAGGCATCTCGGAAAAATAGTCCAGCCAACATTTAACAGATGGTTTAAATATTAGAAGTTTGCAGTGCGACGAGACATGTATGTTACTTAAAAATTCTACATGTGGGCCTTTTGCATTTTGACCATATACTCAAATTACCCCCAATTTACTCTTAACTTCTTTTAAATTATAAAGAGGGATTTTGGTTAAACGCCGGCCCCCTTTGATCAGATTTTTAGTTACATCAAGGCGTGTGAGCTTAGAGTGGAGGAGAGGCAGCTTATAAATCTAAGAATAGCTCTGCGTGAACGTCACTGTTAAGTTCATACAAATTTAAGGAGATTGAAAGTTTGAGGCTCTTTACGTCAGGCGATTACATATCATTGATCAAATTAACGAATCTGAACTCGTCTGCAAGTGTTAGATGTTAAGGGCCCATTGAAGCGCCCGTAAAATATTCATGACCATGCTTGATGTCAGGGGAGAACCCTTTTTAATTGTATGGTGTAACCAACTTGTTAAAATTTCTATACACCATTAAAGTCTTTAAAAACTAAATCTATTACAGTATGTATGCTCGTGTGATATCTGCAATGCACTGTATGTGACATAGACGGTATTGGTCATTGGGAATAACCCTTACACTCCCCATTAAACGCTTTTGCATGCATTTTTTTTTCACATTCAAAAGGAGACATGAATAAATTGCACGACCCGTGAAGATCCGGGGGAAAATAGGTCTTCAGCAACCCATGTTTGCCGTAAGAGGCGACTAACGGAATCTGGTGGTCAGGCTCGCTGACTTGGTTGATGCATGTCATCGTATCCCATAACGTGGATGGATGCCCTTGATGTCAATCACTGGATTGTCTGGTCCAGACTAGTTTACAGACCGCCGTCATATAGCTGGAATATTGCTGAGTGCGGCGTTAAACAATAAACAAAACAAACAAACAAATAAATGGCACAACCAGACAAATACCAACACATCTTGATGTACGGGTTTCTATTTGACAATGCAGAATATTTGTGTTCTGTTTGAATCACACTTCGCTTCTCTCGACATGGCACAGGACCTCATGTCATTCACACACCACACCACACCACACCACACCACACCACACCATGCACAACTGACCACATGCCACACCACACACAACTGACCACGCCACACGCCAAGCCACACCACGCCACACCACACCACACACAAATGACCACGCCACACCACACACAACTGACCACACGCCACAACACACACAACTGACCACTCCACACGCCACACCACACGCAACTGACCACGCCACACCACACACAACTGACCACGCCACACCACACACAACTGACCACGCCACACCACACCACATACAACTGACCACACCACACCACACCACACCACACCACACCACTCACAACTGACCACACGCCATACGCCACGCCACGCCAGACCACACCACACCACACACAACTTACCACACGCCACGCCACACCACACCACACACAACTCACCACACGCCACACGCCACCACACCAACCCCATTCCATCCCACGTCATCTTAAAAGCCTAACCAAGTGTCCTATCCCACCGCGCATTATTTATTTACAGAGAGCAACACCAAACAATCTATTCATTTTCACTTTTAAAACAAAACTGTTGACGTGTGGGTATTTGTCACAAAACATTTTTTTTCATTTTCTTCATCACTGCCAACAAACTATTCATTTTGGGCATATTTCTGAACAAACTATTCATTTACAACATCCCCCACCACTACCACTATTTTGGACCCCTCCCTTTTAAAAATGGTTGACCAACCGCCCTTGCATCAAATAATGAGCAAGCAGAACTACTCGTTTTGAATAATCAGAGTTTTAACAATAATGTTTTAACTAAGAAATCGCCGGAACCGGAAATAAATGCTGTTTTATGCGGGGTATTCAGATGCCGGTTAAGACCTTTCAGTGCTCTTTAGAGATATCCACTGCACTCTCTTACCCAGAGTTCCTTGCTGTCAAGGGGCGGTCGGGTAGCCTAGTGGTTAAAGCGTTCGCTCGTCACGCCGAAGACCCGGGTTCGATTCCCGACATGGGTACAATGTGTGAAGCCCATTTCTGGTGTCCCCTGCCGTGATATTGCTGGAATATTGCTAAAAGCGGCGTAAAACCATACTCACTCACTCCTTGCGGTCAACCTAGTACTTCTGCCACAGGCCAGCGAGATGCGGCAATTTGTGTTTCAGTCCATTCAGCAAATTACAATGTGGTTTTTATCTGTTTCATTTTTAAAAAGTTTACATATTAAGATAAACATATGTCCTGAAATGCTTAAGTTTCATTGAGAAAATATCTTAAAACTTTAAAAAACTATTTGCATTTGATTATTTATCCTTTGTTTACACTGGTTGTAGGTTCCATGTGCTGTCATGGAAGTCCTACGGAGAGCTGATGATCGCAAGCGATACGGTCACTTTGATGGGTAAAATACATTGCCACAAGCCTCGCTGTAGCAGTTGTAGTAGCTCATCTTTATAATTATGCGCAACAATATGTAAATAGCACTTAAAGCGTCTGTCTACAATATTACAAACATGAGAAAAGTCCGGTCACGTGATATGCCAATTAGCTTGGGTCAGTGGCCGAATACTAAGTTATCACTGTGCATTCGTGACCAACTCGTGTTATTCCGGGACAAGCTTCTTGCAGGTTACGGAAAGGGGCGAGTGGCGACGAATGATCACTGTGGTGGGACGCGTCCACTGCACACCGAGGAAACCAACTTGCTTCGAGGAAATCTTAAAAACAGGTAAACGGTAGCAATTAGACAACCCAGGTATAGTCAGGGATGAGCGACAAAGTACAAAGTAGGCATGTTGATCAACCCAGTTTACTGTTAGCAGGGACAAACAAAATTAAAATAAAAACATTTTTATTTCATCACATCATTTGTTTAGCTATCTTAGCACTTCTACGTGAGAGAAAAGGGTGTCAACAAATATTATGCACTACTGATCACCACAAGCACAGAGAAGGAGTGAGTGAGTGAGTTGGGTTTAACGCCGCTTTTAACAGTATTCCAGTGATATCGCATCGTGTCAGCTTAATGTGGGAGGAAAGCCCGAAGTGATGCAGGCCCCAGACGTTTACCACTTCGGTGAAACCCACGAGCACGGGTATGGTGCTGACAAACCTAGAAACATAATCGGGGCGAACCGGGATTCGAACCCACGATCATAGGTTTCTGGCGTGCCCAAGGGACGCAACTCTGCACATTGAATTGTGGCGCCTTAGACGACTGGGCCACCCATGCCCCCCACAAGCTCAGAGAAGGACGCCATACCATCAAGGCCATAATAAAGCGCTGCCACCGATGTAACCTGTTTCGCCTACCTAACACAATATAAGTCAATCCAACACTCGCATGGTAACTTTCGGAATTCATTTTGTTCACATAAGCCTATATCCATGATTTATAGTTAGTAATGAAATACCGTATTTATCCGAAAAAGTAATTCAGTAAATCACTCGAGTCTACATCGGTGACACAATGATGGCCGACCATTTGATATTCTGGGTGTGGGTTGGGGCGGGGGAATGGGGGGATTTGTGTGTGTCGGCTACATCTGCAAAACTATCAAATGGTCAGTCCCTCCGAAAATATACACTAAGTAGTACACGAGTCTCGTGACGTGATAAACGTAACAGCTTCACCCATGAAAATATCTATGTTGTCAGGTGACTCAGTGAGATATACATGCTATTAGACCAGAAACACTAAATAACCTCCATGTATTTTATAAAAACAAAAACAACAACAACAACGCACAATTATCTGTAACCCAGCACTATGTACTAAACATCACTTAACGCCGCACTCTGTAAAATAATAGAGTCTGGACCAGACAATCCAGTGATTGACATCATGAGGATGATATTAATCACTGGATTGTTTGGTCCAGACTCGATTATTTACAGACCGCCGTCATATAGCCGTAATATTGCTGAGTGCGGCGTTAAACAACAAACCAACCAACCAACCAAATCGCGGCACTGAACAACAGAATTGAACGTCCAGCAAAACAAATATGTTATAATATCATGACTTCAGTTTTCAAGCAGTAGTGTTTCTATTTTGTTCCAGAAGGATTTTTCTTCCAGGTCAGAATCTTGCAGCCACACAATATTACACTCCCTGACGGAGTTAAGTAGCACTTGTGGTATGCAGGGATAGTCACCGTCGTCGGTCAGCGGCACCAGTAACAACAACCTGCCAGCCATGACGTCAGAGACAGAAAAGGCTGCTGCGCAGAGACTGAAGTAGGCCAGGTCTTCTTGAAGAAACGCTGGTGTCAAGTACAGAATTGTCTTCCATGAGTTATGGACGCTCTGTATTATCGCGTCCGCTTTATCCACCCCTGGGATTATATCGCGGTCAGGGAGCAGAAGTCGAAAACCTTTCTCAATCTCCAGTCGTTGTCGTAAAGTGTACCAGGCCCATCTGTATTCGACGTCGGCGTGCATGACATTCACGTCGTACACGAAGTCGCCACGGGTCGGCATACGCACGTTCAAACCAAACCGCCGGAAAAACCAATACATAATTCTTGTTTTGTTACGTTTCACTAAAAGGAAGACTAACACGCTTACTACAAAAATAAGATAAGTACTCAGAGTCAGGTATAACCAGAACCTCCCTACACATCTCCGCCAGAATTGTTTCAGGTTGATGTCCTTTGTTGACAATATGGCGCCATCTTCACCGATGCATGTGTAATTACCTCCCCTGTCTAAAGTCACATGTGTCTCGGAGAGCCATTGTACAAATTCAAGTGTTCTGCATCCGCATGACATCATGTTCCCATTTAGTTTCAGAATCAATCGCCCTACACTCGACAGGTGCAAATCTAAATGATTGCATGTTTGGGGGTCTATTTGACTGATTGCATTATATTGCAAATCTATTTCCTGAAGATTTGTTGTGGTTCTTATGTCAAAGGGGAAGTCCTTGAACTCATTTTGTGACAAGCGCAATTTTGTTAAATTATCAAAGCTTTTGAAAATTGTGCGATTAAGAGATGCTATCCTGTTCCTGGCAAAAGAAAACTCTGTCAAATGTTTAAAGACCGATGTTATCCAGTCAAACTGACGGGGGACATCTGCCTCCCCATCCAAAAGCACAGCGTCCATGTAAACCTTTTCTAAATGTCGTAAAGGTTCAAAAACTGTTCCCATGAACTTAAAACCTATGAAAGTATTATCGGATACATCTAGAACCTCCAGAGCAGGCAAACCGGTTACGGTCACGGTGGGGAAAAACTTTATACCAATCCTAGATATATTCAGTTCTTTAAGGTACCTGGCATTGGTGAAGTGGACATGGTAGAACAGTGTGACCAACTTCCATGGGAAATGGCTTGAGTTTAATGCTTTCAGTTTATACGGAAGAGTAATATACAGGAAAGGAAATGGTGACTCAATTTTATGAGTTCCAGGTCGTACGTTGACACCATATGATTTACCTGTCACCCCCTGCAATTTCTGATTTGAAATATCAAGATTTACCAATTTTCGAAACTTTCTGATCATCCTCAGATTTGGAATTTCGGCAACCCGGTTCCCGCTGACATCGATTTTTTCAACACATGTCGAAAATGTTGACAATGCTAAGTCGCCTATATCGATCACCAAAATATCGTTATTCGATAGCTTTAACTCCTTAACGCATATGTTCCCAAGTGCTTGCAGTTTATGCCACGTCAGTATGCTATCATTAAGCTTATCATTCCACGGACGCGTATAGGACTTCAGAACATTCGAAATATCTATAAACGTCATATTTTTGTTTGTCAAGCTTTGTAAACTTTCCACGGCGTTTACGACACCAAAATCGCCATTATGAGACAAGTATAACATTTCCAGAAATTCCAAATACTTGAAAGCATCCTTGTGGACATCTCTCAGTGCGCACCATCTCAGATTCAGCCTCTTCAAGCCTGGGAATACGCTGAACGTGTTGTTTCGAATGACCTGTAAGAGGCACGTTGGGCCGTTCAACGTTCCGCTGAACTGAAGAGATTCTAGCACACGAAGAGAGGTAAAGCCACCATCAAATACAGGATTTTTCATGGTATCAATTGACAGTTCCTTTAACGTTACCAGAGGCTTGAATATCATATCAGGATAACTTCCATTTTCACTCAGATCATTGTATTCCATTCGGAGAGTTTGTAACTTCTTGAGAGGGTTGAATATTCCTGGTGGATATGATGAGTAGTTAAGTTTTAGGGCGTTCAACTGTAGATACAGTTCTTCCAGGTTTGGTAGGCCTGTGAAAGCATTGGCCTCCAGTAGAGAGATGTGATTGTCTGAAAGGTTCAAAACCCTCACTGAGGAAAGTTCTTGAAAAGAGTTGTTCAAGATTGTTGAGAATTTGTTTTTGCGAAGGTTGATGAAAGACGTATTCGTGGGAAAGTTAACGGGAACCTCGGACAGATTCCTTGAACTGCAGTCGACCAAGAAAGATGAGTTTACGGAAGTGACGTCACAAACTGTCATGGCGTCTGGACGTTGGCGTGTCATCTGCGCAGACATTGCAGAGAAGAACATAAGAATAAGGTTTTGCATTCTGATAAGCATTTTGAGTGTTGCAGCTGTTGTTTCCTCTTTACGCTGAAACAAACCAGAAATAACTTTCACAAAGGAATTTTATAATGCTCTCAAATGTACTACTATTCAATGTGGAAAATAAATCTACTATTAGAGACGAACTAAACCTTGAATAGAATAAAAATGTAGCGTACGGCACCTTCCATGGACGGAAGTGTCATGTTTATGGACATGCATGACGTCACAAAGATGACAGAGCCACTGAATTAGCTTGATGCTCGCGTTGTGCAAATTGACTTGCAGACGACAGCTCGGTCCGATGAAGAAGTGTCAATTGTTCCAATGCAATGATGGTATTTTGGTGCAGATTCTGTTCTAATGAGTTTTGATCGGCCTTGTCGATTCAGTCCCGGGTCGATTTGCGTAACGAGAGCATCAACCTCATTATTCTACTTCCCTGTTAACCACACAGACTAACAATGCGTTGAACTGATGCGAAATTAAGTTATTAAACTGAAATTGTACTTCAAATGTGTAACTATTTGGCCAACGACATCTGCTTAAAGTTGGAAGACATTTCGGAAATCATTACGAAAGTTGTTTGAAGTGTTTAAATGAATGAAAATCTTTCTTAAATTGGTATGAACTATCAGAAATGTACATACATGTATACCGGACAACTAATGCATGTTTTTCTTCCATTGCATACCAGTTCAGTGTGTGGGTTAACGCCACGACCTCCTCCGTGGTCTAGTGGTAGAGCGTCCACCCGGAGAGCGGAAGGTCCGGGGTTCGATCCCCGGCCGCATCATACCAAAAGACGTTAAAATATGGTACTTGTTGTTACCCTGTCTGGCGCTCGGCATTAAGGGACTAAAACAAGGCTCGGCTCGGAGTCAGTATACTGTGTCTGAGTGGGATATTCATATTAAACTGCGGTATGGTATCTCAGTGAGCTAGCACTATTAATCGGCATCAGTCCGGTCTAGTACAAGCAACCACACACACACACACACACACGTGCTTGCACGTCGCTTTATGAATGCAATAATCTTGGACGCGACGTTAAACCCCATTTCACCTCACCTTGGTTAACGCCACCCTGAACAGTACGTGGATTTAAGTTATATGCCGACTTGTGGGGAGGACATCACGAAGAGATACACGTCAAATACGACTTTGATGAAACACACCAGCACAGGTACAATGCTGACAACCCAAAAGACACAATCAGGGGGAATCTGTACAGAGTTGCGTGCCATGAACACGCCAGAAACCTATGATTCTGGGTTTGAATCCCGGTTCGCCCTGATTATGTTTCTAGGTTTGTCAGCACTATACCCGTGCTCGTGGGTTTCACCGAAGTGGTAAATGTCTGAGAACTGCATCACTTCGGGCTTTCCTCCCACATTAAGCTGACACGCCGTGATATAACTGGAATACTGTAAAAAGCGGCGTTAACCCCAACTCACTCACTCACTCACTCACTGATATAAAATATAAACAACATTGCACTGTCAACAGCAAATACTCAAAAAGATAAGGATATGGGAAGAACTTCAAAATAATTCTCCATTTAAGTTTGTTTTTGTTTTCAATGTGTATAGACCACAGGCCTTTGTGAACTGAATATAATAATACACTCAGGCTGTTAAATATTGGAAAATATGTTTCTTTCAACATAAGCATTATAATTGTGTTTAGCTAAATTAACTTCAAAATAAAAAAGCACGATATGGTCTGTTTTTGCAATCTAGTCTGTCAGTTCTCAAATGTCACAAGACAATTAATTTTTTTAATTTTTTTTACAGTTTTTGCGGGGTTGGCGGGGTTGAACAGTGATGATTAAAAAATGCTCAGGAAAATTCTTCAACAAAAAACAAACTTAAAGATATTTTTAAAAAAACCTCAAAAACATTTCAAGATATATTTTTTGTTGTGTTTTTCACTTATAATTAGAATGTGTTTTTACTCTTAAAAACATACGTCTACAGCATCCTATGTGGTAAACGTCTGAGATCTGCATCACTTCGGGCTTTCCTCCCACATTAAGCTGACACGCCGTGATATAACTGGAATAATGTTAAAAGCGGCGTTAAACCCAACTCACTCACTCACTTCTTTGTAATATTTCTCAAAACAACGCCTACCTTTACTTTATGCGCTCACGTTTAAGTGATATCCACATCATTTCGCTAACAGCAGTGATTTCATCTGGCCATGTAATGTACAACGTTGGTAAATCCAGGGAAACACAATGTCCTGGGCCCGTCCTGGTTTTCCTGTTTTCTCAGAATATATTATGTCGTGGAAACATTTGGTTTTAATTTTATGTTTCACGTATTGCTCATTTTCAGTAGTTTGGTTGCGCGGTAGAAGTTATTAGATAGAAGTTCCTAATAGTAAATGCCTGAAAGACCAGACCAGACAAACGGGTTCGTATTAACGAGGTTTCACCGTGAACACTCTGAGTCTGACGTCATTACAAAGGGAGATAACTCTCAATTCCGAGAAAACAAAATTCAAGCTGATTTATATACTTCCAAAAGTTTAGTTATGGTATGTCTTTTTTTCGGGGGTTGAAATCGAAATAAGAAAATAACACTGGCCGGAGGATGAAAAACATGGATATAACAAATGACATCCTAAGTTATTCTGATGGGCTTATATGTGTGGCCCTTTGAAAAAGTCAGTGACTCATAAGCACGTTGTATTCCTCTTGTGCGTGTCACACGGGATGCGGACCAGTGTCAGAGAAGTGTAAGTGTATTATTATCCCATACCGGTTGTGTCGTCTCACTGAGACAGCTAAAACAAGGAAGTATACATTATATTATATTACCCTATACATGATACGGTAAAACCCGCTAATTACAGTGATTATTCCTTATACAGACTATTTACTTCCTTTACCCGCTAGTTGCCGAAGTTGTTTTTTTCTCAAGCTCATTTTCCTAAGGTCGGAAAAGTGAAGGTTGTGCGAGAATTTACCTCCGGCTATAAAATTACGCTGAGATGTAGAATATTAAATTTCCTATCTGATAATTTGGTGTAAATTTAACGGCAAATATTTAACCGGTTTGATAAAAAGACACTGCTAATTTATTCTGCGTTGAAAAACAGCAAATTTCTCCGCTTTTTGTCATACACCAATAAAAGTACCGTGCGACGATTTTTTTATTTAGCAGCTCTTACGGAAACTGTGAGCAAACAAATACTGCCTCATATCTGAACGACATAAATATATATCAAATGGGGTTATATGGTAATGTATAACGTTGTACATTCAATGCAAAAAATAGCCTGCCGTAAATGACAAAAACGGATTTTCCTCGATGACGTACAAAGAAAAGGGGGCATAACTCCGCTCTGCTTAGCACCAGTTTATTGTATCCCGACCTTTTAAGTCGGGGGTATATAGTTATACTAAGGTTCCGTCCGTCCGTCCGAAAACTTTGTCCGCGCGATTTCTTTTAAACTAGTCAGTGGATTCATCTCAAACTTAGTACATATAATCAGTGTTATATGGAAGGGTGCTGAGTTAAAAGAAAAAAATTGTTTTGATTAATTTTCCATTTTTGTATGAATTTTTCAAACCCAAATCCTATCCATTTTCTAATGAAACAGAGTGATTTCCATTAGGCATCTCAGACAGTGCAAGTTGAGCGTGATGGACTGGTTCTACCGCCACCTCCACAAACTCATGCTGTATCTGGAGATGGGAACTGTTTTTCAGACCCCTCTCCTATGTGTTAACTGGAAGTCAAGAGCAACATGGAGAACTACGAGCTCTGGCGGTTTCACACATAGCGTCGGGTCGGGGGTATTAGTGAGCCACGCTCACTTTTGCCCTTGTTGTAACTCAGATTGAAAATATCAAATCATTGCAATGTATCTGTTTTTAATTCCCAAATTCTTCCTACGATTCTCTACACATGCAAATCCTGAAAATGTTGAGTCAATGTATGCAACGAATAGACGAATGGGTAGCTCAAAATAGGAGAAAGTGCTACACAGTGTAACATGTAATATCTGAAGTTTGTTTTGCTTACATTTCAAACAAGTGCAGTTTTCCGAGCACAGCGTGCGTGTTCACACCTAATTCATTTTGCTTGATTTCATCTCGACACTTTGTTTTTGTGACAAAGGCCCTTTGTCATTTGATTCTAAAAGGTATGAGGAATCCGAGGATGTATGTATCGCAGCTGAGTCTGAAATATACGTGATGTTACAGGCGGTTCATAACCGGTACACGTGAAACGTGATTTTGTAAACACTGTCCAATATGGGGACGGTTGGGTAGCCTAGTGGCTAAAGCGTTCGTTCGTCACGCCGAAGACCCGGGTTCGATTCCCGACATGGGTATAATGTGTAAAGCCTATTTCTGGTGTCCCCCGCCATGATATTGCTGGATTATGCATACTCACTCACTATCCAATAGAAGGCGACTATGCTTGTCGTAAGAGGCGACTAACGGGATCGGGTGGTCAGGGTCGCTGACTTGGTTGATGCATGTCATTGTATCCCAATTGCGTGGATCGATGCTCATGATGTCCATCACTGGATTGTCTGATCCAGACTCGATTATTTACAGACCGCCGTCATATAGCTGGAATACTGCTGAGTGCGGCGTTAAACAAACGAAACAAACACTATCCAAAATGGCGGAAAGTTCACTTCGGCGTTCGTGTTTACGTATTTTCCAAAACATTCTTTACGATTTTAGGGTTGTCGGCGACGTTTTGGAATGATCATTGGGGATTTGATAAAAGACAGATACCCGTGATCACTAATATGCTATTTTTGAAATTCATTTCTCCGAGTAAATATCCGAAATTTAGATTTCAAAACATGCAGTAAATAACGCCGTGAATGGTGATTTGGTCATGTGTAAAAAGTGGCGACATGTACGACGTACCTAATTGTAAGATGTCATTTTCAGTAATTTTGCTTTTTCCTAAAATGATAGTGGATTATATCACAGAACAGGGAATGACCCACAGTATCCACTACTGTGAAGTATATCTGAGTGCTTGATCTATTTTGAATTTTATTCGACTACAAAGTGAGGGTTGAAGAGGAGGGACATATATGTCCCTCTGGTATCCAGGGGCTAAACAGTTGCGTCATATCACCTTACCATAAAATATCATTCTTAAATTCTGTCGTAACAAAGGTATTCTCATCTCTTACAAAAGGTGTTTGTAAACACTGAAACGAGTACTTACCTGATCCATTATATTTGCATTTTTATCCTAAAATGAGACAAACCGTTATCATTTTTATCCGTTGGTTTTATCCTGCCAAGAAACCTACCCTTTTCAAAATATCCGTTATTGGGGTCGACCTCTGTGCATAGGGCATGAATGAGAATGATTTGTTTTGTTTGTTTTCTGTTTAACCCCCTGGATGCCAGAGGGACATATATGTCCTTCCTCTACAACCCTCGCTTTGAAGTCGAATAAAATTCAAAATACATCACCCACACAAATACACTTCACAGTTTTGAATAAGGTGGGAAATTACCTGTTCTGTGATATCATCCACTGGCATTTTAGGCCAAGCAAAATTACTGAAAATGACCTCTGAAAATTAGGTACATCGTAAATGTCGCCATTTTTTACACATTACTAAATCACCTCTCACGGCGTTATTTACAGCATGTTTTGAAATCTAAATTTAGGATATTTACTCGGAGAAATGAATTTCCAAAATAGCATATCAGTGATCACGGGTATCTGTCATTTATGAAATCACCAATGATCATTCCAAAACGTCTCCGATAACCCGGGAATCGTTTCGAATGTTTTGGAAAATACGCAAACACGAACGCCAAAGTGAACTTTCCGCCATGTTGGATAGTGTTTACAAAATCACGTTTCAGGTACACCGGTTATGAGGCGCCTGTAACATCGCGTATATTTCAAACTTAGCTGCCATACACACATCCTTGAATTACTCATACATTTTAGAATCAAATGACCAATGGTCTTTGTCACCAATACAAAGTGGCTGGATGAAATCAAGCAAAATATGTTAGGTGTGAAAACGAACGCTGTGCTCGAAAAACTGCACTTGTTCGAAATGTAAACAAAGCAAAAAACAGACTTTACACAGTGTAGCATTTTCTCCTATTTTGAACTTTCCATTCGTCTATTCGTTCAAAATATTGGCTCAACATTTGCAGAATAGTCATGGGAAGAGAATCGTAGGAAGAAATAGGGAATTTAAAATAGATACATTGACAACTTCTGTTGAAAATATCAAATCAATGCAAAGTTACCGTCCTGTGTGACGCCATGACTGACGCAAAATCACGCACAACGACAACGGTATTTATCGGAATTTCTGACTATTTCGGTTTGTTTCAATGAAAATTATAACAACAAATAACAGTACATAAATTGTCAGAATGTTTCTGATTACTTACATGTCACATTTATGTAAATACGATCCCTGAATCAACGAAAGTCCCCTCGTAAAATCCCGCGTACTGTTGACAGTGAACACGCCATTTTGTAAAAGTCGGTCACAGGTAGTGATGTCATACGTCAACATTGTTGTACATATTTGGTAATTTCTTTGAGGTGAAGGTCTTTGAATGAGAGTGCACACGATCATTGTACCATAATGTTTACAGTTTCAGTTATGATGCAGATTTTGCATATCTTTTATACATTGTTTCACACAATTAGATTCTAATTTCACTTTGGACATTTGTCAATGTTCAAAATGATATCATACGTAAATATCGGCCACAACATGTATGAAGGAACCTTGATAATAACCTGTTTGTTTGAACATTATTTATATAACAATTGATAGGTTTTTAGTGTCGCATACGATATTTCTTTCCTTTGGACAAGTGTTACAAGAAGTGTAAATGTAACTTCAGCATGTACGCATTTCTTGGGATGTGCAATAGTCAATATTATAAGTTCATATTAGCAATGTCCATGAATAGCCGTTTCATTTTATTTTATAACTAAAACTGAATATATTACTTTTACAAAAAAAATTCGGTAAAATATATGCACACATTTCTGAAAGAACTGTCTTGGTCTTGGAACTGTTTTTGATGTCGTTTAAATTGATACACAGAACAGTGATATCTAACGATTCGCCAGGTGCGCGTTAGTCACACACATTTTACGAATTATTCCTCTCGTTTTGCATTATATAAACAATGGGTTCATTCTTTTTTCAATATTGTGATCACGGGATA